GCATGTCCAGCTGCCGACGCAGATTGAATTTGGCCATCCCCTCAGCCTTCTCAATCCGTTGTTCCAGCTCCAGCATCTCATCGTAACCGCGTGCAGCTTCAGGACACGCCTTGATCTTACTCACAAGCTCGGGTGGAGCGGACATACGCACTCCGATGGTCCGCGCCAGCGAGCGTGCTTTGAACTTCTGCACCCACTGCCATATTTTGGTGATAGTCTCATCAGATGGCTCACCTGGGGCCGCGAGGAGCAGCTCGATGGCTGTGAGGACCGTGAATGCATTGGCATTGCCCGCGGTGATGCTCTGCCGTTGTGTGATGCCTTCTAGACCTGAACTGGAGGAGGCGTGGAGCTCGCTTAACGAAAATATCTCATCAGCCTCTTCAGCCTGACTGATCCCTCTCTTGCTGAGGTCGTGGATTTGAGCCTTGGCATAGTCTGAAAGGCAATAAGTATGGTTCTCTGCCTCTTTAGGCCTATTTTCTGCTGTTCCGCCTTTGGCACCGTTGGAGCTCGCTGCTTGCTGCTCCAATTGTCTTATCCGCCTGATCATGAACATGCAGATTTGCGCTCCAGATCGCTGATGAAGAGCCACCCGAACGAGGTCCTTGTTTCGACGAAACTCAGCCAGAGCACGGTCGTTGTATGTTTGCGCATTTGACAATCGTTCTCCTGATTCAGCGCTGGCGAAATCCGCCGAGTAATCTAGCGGTGCCATGTATGTGAGTGCTATTTGGGACAGCCAACTGCCCTTGCTACCTGGAAACTTGTCCCGTATGATCTGGGGGAGGCTTTCTTCGAGCTCGAGTAGACTCTTGAGCTCAGAAAGGCGAAGGTCCCAGAGCTGAAGATCAGAAAAGTGCATCTGCCTCCCGAATCTAAGCATGACCAAACAGAACAGTCGACGGTTCTTTTGATGCACAGGGGGTTTACCGAACCATGCACAGAGACGTGTGTACCGTTCTTCTGTGGGATCATTGATATCGGTGGCTTCGGGGAAGACAATAGCTTTCAATGCAGCTTCTTCCATGCCCTTGAACTCTTCAAGGGCGGAGTTCCCAGTGGCTATGTCCTCGAGCAGCCATGTCAGTACCAGCTGAATGGACATTTCTTGTATTTTTGCATGATCGCCAATGGCATCGCTCCATCCCCAATAGAATGTCTCCTCCCCATCATCGTCCAGAACCTGATTCTGGGGATCTGGCTGCACAGAAGAAGTGGTGCCCCTTCTCGTTGGATCGCGGTAACCCTGCCTCGAATGCATCCAATTGCCTACCGATGGCGAGAATGTCTCCAATCGACTGGCCTCCTCGTCGATCCTCCCAGCCTCATCCTGTCGACGAAGACTTCGCAGGAGTGATGCCTGACTCCTAAGGAGCAACGCCCTCACCACTGGGGCGTCGAAATGCTGATACTGCTTAAAGAAGTCATCAATCCAGTCGAGAGCCTTATCGCGATCAATAAGGCTCGCGAGCGCAACGGAGTTGAGGTCAACATGATGGTGCACCAGATCGCAAATGTCCTCCGATACCGTCTGGTCATACGTATCGAGGCGTCTCTGCACGTCGAAATACGTGGTCCTGAACAATTCCATTCCAGTGACTTCGTAATATTTCCTCGAAAGATCAGCAGCCGCCGCTAAGCAATAGCCAGTCTTCGTGCCGTCGACAGCTTCCATGTGAGCGGCTAGCTCCTCTGTCCGCTCTAATTTGTCGATCGGGTCGTTGATGCACGACAGCCTCTCGTAGGACATTGCTTGCATATGCGGTGTGGCCTCCTTATTTCCGATGCCAAATTCATCACAGAACCTCTGGAAAGCAGCCTCAGATTTGTCGAACTCCTCAACGGCGCTTTCTGGTGCTTGTAGCTGAATATGTGTGGTTGCCCACTGAAGACGAACCACCGCCTCGATGTAGTCCCGGCCCAGACCCGTAGGAATGGTTGCTACAGCCTCCAGAAACTCGTTGACCACAGGGCCTCGGTCTTCTGGTGGCGTGCGATTCAGCTCCGCGCGGAACAGGGCATTGGCCTCGTTGAACATGCCTCGCTGCGTCAGAGAGCGCCGCAGTAGTTGTAGCCCACCCCAGGGAGTCCTTTCACCTGAAGCGTCTGTCCTGTCATGCAACGGGATGTGCTCTGACTCTGGATTATTGTATCCCGAATAGAGCCTGGCGAACAGACTTGCGATGACATACCGGCGAATGCAACCTGCCTAAGCACGATGTTAGATCAGTCACCATATCAAGTTTGAGGGTTTAGTGACAGCTGTCGTACCTGGATGTCAGTATACTCTGCTACAGGTACTCCAGCAAGCCAATGTTGTGTCCTTTCAATCTCTATAGCTGACGACGTCACATCACCTCGATGTCTCGTCCCGAGCATGGCCCAAGTCAAAGCCATGAGTCGATGTTCGGGTGATTCGAGGTCTTCTTTGGTCTCTCGCAGCTGTGAAAGCTTTGAGTCTAGGATCTGCCACGCCCGGCCCCATCTGCCCGCCTCTAACTCGAGGTCGGCGTGCTCAATAGCGACAACTGGAACTGCTGCAAAAGATCCGAGCTCATTGTCAAAGATTGCTCTGGCTTCGTTTGCGAGTCCTGACATCTTGAGCCAGATGGCACGCTCGAGCTGTTTGACGGCCTCCGGGGGCAATGAGCTGTACAGGGATGTATATATCCCCCAGTAGTGAGGAGATATTGACATCTCACTCAATTGTTCTACTGGAACATCCATTTTGAAGTTCTGACGTTTGAATAATGTTAGAAATGCTCAATTTGGATCAGAGCAGGCGAGAACAGTGTATAAGATGAGAATCGAGATGATACTTTGAGTATTTGCAAATTTTGTATCGCTTCTTACAACAAGGCCCTACCGGTCTTATTATACCATCCCTTTCATGTTATCTCTCCTCCTCTTTTACTCTTCAAACTTGCCGTCTTGTCCAACATGCTCTTTTTCAGCTCGTTTCAGCTTCTTTCAAATTTGGGAGTTGAGGGGAAGTCACATTGATCCTATTGGACCGTATCAATCGATAGCGTCCAGTGTGATGCGCGAGATAAAGCAATAAAGTTGCATGACAAGGATGTTCGGGACGACTTAAATTTCTGAAGATACGTTACAACAGCGGTTACGCGCCGGTGGCGTGGTGGTCTAGATTCGGGAGCCTGATTCTTGAGCGTGAAATGAAATGGATGTGTTGCAGTGAGGCTGAGCGCTGATAGTATATATCTTGGTGCATGCGTGTTGATCCAACACCTGATCCCACGGCTGATACTATGCGAACCTAGAGACATTTTGTTCAGTAACACTGCTCAACATACACTAGCCCTCTATCAAGAACTTCAATCCCACTTACACCCAACAAGCGCCTCCATTGGTCTGGGCATAATGTCGGAACTCCCTGACAAATCAAAATCACCAATCCCGTCATCTGTGTTTGATAGCGACGTTGACGACACCAATTCCACGTCCCCGGTCCTTCTGCCATTGACTGTGTCGATCGATGATGATGGCGCAGGACAGCTCTCAGCACCGCAGACAAATACTCCGGCTGAGCTCTCAGAGCCGCGACAGATTATATCGTCTGGAGACCCTTCCAAATTTCTCCAAGCTGAGCTCGGGCGACCTGTTTTCGCAGGAACGTACCTCAATGAGCCTGCGTATCTCGTCCAGCTGCGATTGCACTTGTCACTGTCAAGCGGAAACCGAAACTGGCTCAGTCGTATCCAAACGGTTGATATTCATGTTCATGTAGAAGATGCACCGAGAGATGACGCAAAGAATGCTTCGGATGCTTCTGATAGCAGTGACAGTGATTATGAGGAGGAGGAATTTCCGCATCCAGCAATCGTCAAGGCATTCCCTAGTCCCAGTGGTTGGGAGGGTACACCACAATCCGCTGAGGTGTCACTAACGCACGGAATCGGCATGCAAGTAGGCTACAATCCTGCTTCTGTCTCCTACAACATCGGCGAATCACGCACCTGGACCAAGACCGGAGCCGTCAAGGTCAAGGTGGCACACAAAGGTCCGGGACAGAACAAATTGCATGTCCGCGTCGAAGAGAGCTCTGTGGGCAAAGATGGAGTGCCGGACTATCTGGTAGTGCCTTTTATCATCAGACACCGGTCCCGTCGCTTCCGTATGCGTGTCGGCATCCACGCGCGCTTTGGCTTCTGGCGCGGCAAGCTGGCTGAAGTGGTGCCCATTCTTGGTCGCGCTGATGAACCTTTGTTCTTTGATCCGCTAGTTATGCGTCGAGCTATGGAAAAGGGGCGGAGGGGCGTTAATGGGGAGAAGGTCGTTGAGTGGCGCGGTGCACTGGATGAAGTTGCGCTGCAGGAGTACTCGTCACTGATTGATAACAATGCCACTCAGGCGTGATAGTGATTTATTAGAGAGGATGGCATTCAACTATTAAGCCGATATATCAGGGAGATAGCTATCTAGGTTAATAGATGTGTTGCAATGGCCTGCATCGCTCGCTCGAACCCGCCTCCTATTCGAAACTGTGAATTTAGCTTGGCCTCATGACGCTGTGCTGTTCGGTAGGTGGTGATGCTCCAAGTCTCAGTTCTCGTTCCTAAAATCAAGAGTATTTGAGATTATCGGAATGCAACCTATGAGGTGTTGGTCGTGTAATCATCTGAAGGCCCTTTCTGGATATGGCAGAGGAGAGGGAGGGTCGGATAAGGTAGGAAAGCCTTACGTTGACTCGGTACGCCCAAAATGCCTTGCCATTGCCTTTATTTTTGTAGTTTTTCTTTTGTGATTTAGGTTTATATTGCTGTTGACTCTTTCTCCAACAGCCTGAGTGCTGCATCCTGCAGAGGAGCCCAGAAAGCCTTGCGGTCCAATAACGGCTTGCAGCTGAGAGCCTGATCAGGCTGTGCAAGATGTACCATCAGCCATCGGCGACCGAGCTCTCTGTCATCTTTTCAACTCTCCTACAACCTCACCATCAGTAAAATCACCATCAGTAAAATCGCCGATATTTCTACCAAATGGCAGAGCTTCTGGGCATCGTCGCTGGCGGAGCTGGACTTGCCTCTCTGGCACTCCAGTTAGTTGATGGCGGCCAGAGACTGCGACAGCGCTACAAGAACGTCAAAGGCCTCGGAGGCAACATCTCATGGCTCAGTGAGGATATTGAGCTCATTGGCAAGCAACTCATCCAACTCGAGACCAGCGCGGATGACATCATGCAAGAGCAGCTTGGCCCGATCATGATGGGGAGATGTCGAGACCGCTCTGCGAGAGTGGCAGATCGCTTAGCAAACCTGGCTGGTGATATACCAGTCAACTCTTCAAGAAGACAGATCATACGGACTACATTCAGGTCGGGTCAATGGAAGGGTGAGCTTGACGAACTTCAGGCCCTCGTCACTGGTCTCAAGCAAGACATATCACAGTACGCTACTCCTCTATCCGCGGTGAGAAGTAAAACTCACCATCAAACTTACAGACTTTACATTATTCAGCAACACTTATACATGCGCAACAGCCGGAGTTCGTTAGTTACAGCGGACGCTACATCTTCAATGACCCCAATCTCCGGTCTGTCAACAGAGATTACTCCACACGATAACACTTTAGGCACTACTGCGACTTATCAAAACGATATCATTCAATATTTGTCATGTAACTGTGATTGCTCATGCCACAAGAAGCGTACAATAAGTGGCACCTTCTGGCGTCTGCAATACTCCCCCCTGGCTGAGATATTCCAAGGTTGCGATAATCCGGACTGTTCTGTGAGGCGTTACCGTTTTGATCTTCGATTGACGTTGTATCACTACGGGATCCCATTGAAAGTAGCTCTGGGGCTTGATCTCATCTCTGAGCCAGGACGATATTCTCTTCAGCCATGTCTACAAATCGAAACTGTCGTTGACTTCGATGCACCTGGCTTTGTGATTCTGGAAAGGCTGGCCTTGGAAGAAATAGACTGGGTAACAGCCGAGACTGAGTTGAAAGGTCTATATAAGTCTTGTCCTGGATTTGTGAATCAGGTTGATCCTTTAGGTCGTGGCTATCTTGAGGATGGTCCCCCCTTACACAAGTTTGGAGTATTGCTAACGTGAGCTGTAGGTGGCTACTCATAATGTCGAAGCATATACTGGTAGGAATGGTGAAGACTCTAAAACTATCACGAACCTGATCCGGCTTTTCGTTTCATCGTTCCGTACCAAAGAAACATCTCACAGCGTAGGGTTGGTCCCCCTTCCCTCTCACTGCTATGCCGGTTCGCGGCCGTTAACATGTAGCAGTCTCTTGAGACAACTACTGTATCTGATGGAACTGGGGTATGTGGGTTCTGTTGACTCTCTCGTTGCTCTTGGATGCGATTTCAAGACTGTGGTGCCCACTTTGTCCTCTTGGCCAACACCCTTCATTTACGAAGATGACCCTTTTCATTTCCAGCGTATGAAGGCATTTATCAGAATGTATACAAGTGAGTCTGGCATACAGTCATAAGGTTCGGCCAGTCTAATAAGAGCCTGTCCAAGATTTTGGAGATAGTCCTCCGCTTCACAGCTCAACATTGTTTGACTCGGATGAAAGTTTCACACTTTGCCTTAAGAGAAACACACAACCATTCGATACGATTGTCAACTTCTTGGGTCAATCGGCACTTCACATGGCAGTACAACAGCCTTCACGTGTGGCTCAACTTCTAGCTGCTGGGCATCCAGTTGATCAGAGCGATGAGTATGGCAGGAGCCCTTTATTGTATGCCGCAGCGATGAATATTCCAGACACAGCTATGATGCTTGTCGAGAATGGTGCCAGCTTATTTAGCACTCTAGGTGCTTGCTATCCGATTATCTGCACAGTTGCTGCACGGCAGAACTGGACTTTGGTATGGTGGATCATCGATTTTGCAGCAGCATCCCATCCTGATCTTACCTCTCGCCTAATTCGAGACCTATTGGAATGGAATTTCGAAGAAAATTACCGCGTCGCACACGGACAACATGATTTAGTAGACTTCTGGTCCCGGGTGATCTCTAAACTCGGCAGCCCCAACTTCTCCTTCCAGGATGGCAGGACCTTGATGCATATGACCCATGGTGTCAGATCGGCGAGAGCGTTGATAAAATTGGGCTTCAAAAAATTCAAGCAAACAGAAGGAGACTTACTTGAGCACATCGCTTCGTTGCATGATCTGCCGTTGTTTCGGTTTGCTCTCACGAATGGTGGTGATGCGCATTTGCACAACCGCTGGGGTTGGCGCATCCTTCACATGCTGCTTCGAGATCTTACATTAAGTAGCTCAGTGAGCTTTTCAAAGATCTTGGAATTATTGCAGGCCCTCCTTGACAGTGGAGTCGAAGTTTCGTCCCATGATGAACGGGTGTGCAATTGCTTGGTTGGAGGATGCGTTCCGGGTTCTAAATGGCTATTGATTAGACCAAATCTACATTTATTTGCGTGGCTTGAGGTATTAGAAAGGCAGAGAGGTATACAAGAGGCTACGAAAGTTTCCCTCGTCCTTCTACGACAAATGGCTTTTGATCAAGCTGGTCTACATCACATTTGCGCAGAATGCCACTCTGGTTTTAGCTCTGATGTCGACAACGATCGATTTTGGGATATTGCTGAGCAAATCAGCATCGATGAACTTAAGAAAGAGATGGAAGACCTGGCTACCAAGGCGTACCCGGAGTTGAAGATCGAGGTCATGGCTCGTCTTCGTGGTATGTGGAGGAAAGCATGTGCGGAAAAAGGGCCTCCCAAGTTGTCACGTAGCCTGATACAAAGTATTTCAAGGCTCAGGGCGAATGATCTGAAAGAATTGTTGCAGCTAATTCGAGTAAGTCTCCTTTGCCACTAAAAGTTCCCAGCCTCAAGCATTGTTCTGATGAAGCGATAGTCCTCGAGTTATCCCAGTATTCCAGAGCCTTTCTCAAGCTCTTGGGATCACATACTTCGGAAGAAAGTGGAATCTAATCAGTGGATAGTGGGCCATGATCTTGAAGTAGCGGTGATCGAGCTTGGGGTTGGGCTTTATCGATGCGGAGGTGATCAGTTTGAGAGCTGGATTCCACTACTGACCCAATTGACGGACATCCTGCTTGCCGAAGAACCAGAGGTTTTAGAAACCTGATCATACAAACATATAGCCGTGGAAAAGATACGAAGATATATGCTGTTGGATAATAGGCAGCTATCCTTAAGGTATCATTAAATTGCAAATGCCAATTGGTTCACATGAATCTACCTGCAACACGTGGAAGCTCAATCCTGTAGCACTTAACCCGGTGACATACTAGAGATCATCCTCTTTGTGGATAACATAGCTCCTCATCATCCCCTTAGATGCCTATTCATCGTACCGCAAGTTGTTGGGCCATATCTGCACCTGCAATTTGAGACAAGATCCATGTGAAGGGCAGGCAAAAAAGACTTCAGACCTTATCCTTAGAAACCAATCTGAAGGGATCTTAAGTTTCGACCAAGTTTATCATTTATGCCTTAGGATAAGGTTTCTGAGTTTTCTTGCCCCCTGAGGCATGTGTATAGAGAAGAATCCCCTTAGTAAAGAAAAGCAGAAACTAGGCCCTATACTACACTGTGGTAGTTCGCAGAATGCATTGTCTGAAATGCTATATAATTGTATATATTCTCGTTCTAGTTCGAGGAATGGCTTAGCAGTTTCTATGATAGTCGACGCCGGACCATCGGAGGTTGATCCCGGCGATTTGGGCAGGGTCCAATACCTTGAGACTTCCATCGCATTACCGAAGCATCATGAAATGTCTTTCATGAATAAAAATATGCCACATGTGATATTTTAAGCCAACGTCACACTGTTGCAGCGGCATACAGATCGATGTAACCCATTTTCCATATTCAGTGATTTCCGTTGAAGTGCCAAATGCCCGGGAGCATATCCCCGACTCCGTGTAAAAAGCGAGCGGGGATTTCAACGACCGAGATCCACCACCTTGCAATTCGTCTTTCATCTGACAGTCAAAGTCGCAAATTAGAATCATGCATTGACAATGGACATTTGACTTTCGGTCTCGGGCCAATTGATAGCATTCTTACCCGAAGGTAGACATCTTCAATCTATGACCCCGCGGACTGTGCACGGAGAAGCTGTGTTGAGTTATCAATCTGATGTTGGCCTTATCAGATGGACAAAGCCATGCACGTTGACAAATCATTTGCAGCGCCGGTACGCCAACGCCGATGTCGCCGGGTTTACACCGAAGGTTACGACTTCATTAACTATCAGCATCTTCTCATTTGGCCAGTAATAAATCGATCTGCGCTTTAGGGTTGAGACTACAGTGTCTGTACGGAGAAGAATACCGATGGACCGCTTGAAGGATCGAGAATCAAACGGATAAATTGCCGCTCCATGGTCCATGACGATGTGTGATTCGCCTCGGCATGTCATTAGTAATGAATGTTCTTGGTGTCAAAGGCTGGCATCTTATCAGATGCAGACTAGTCCGGGTCCCCGGCCACAACCTACACCTAAGCTCTCGGTTTACTCCTCACCTGTGAATCCAATCGGACTGACTTTGCTCCATTGCGTTTGATGAGGACGGGAGAGCATGATGGTTAAAAACAAACAAATTAATTGAACGACCACTCAAAGACACAAATAAATGTTAACAGTAAAGAGAAAGTCAGATAAACGTCAATATAAAAAAGAAGTGGGAAGTAGGCGGGTCTTGAATCTGTGTCTCTCTTCTCCGAGGAGTACCGAGCTAATAGAGACGTAATGGCCGAGCAATCGAAGCTCACTGATTGGCCCTCATCTACTCCACACCACCGCAAGCCATTGCCCGAAATCGCCATCTCCTCGAGTCCCGCCCGCAACAAGAGGAAGAGCATCTTTTTTTTAGCCAAACCCCCAGACTTGATCCTCCCTCCGTCATCGCTTTTCGCCTCCCATTCAACTCAACTCTCGATCTTTGCATCACATCACTTTTCCAATCTTGCATCTTACAACAATCCTGACAACACGACCTACGCACAACCTGATATTCGACAAACCTCGATATATCACCAAACCCTACCTACAACACATATCACAATGTTCGCTAGAGGAATTCGCGCTGTCTCGCGGCGAGCTGCTGTCGCTGCCCCCCTCGCCCGTCCTACCATCCTCCCTGCCCGCCAGATCTCTCCCGCCGTCGCCGTCAACGCTACCCGCTCCTACCACGAGAAGGTCCTCGACCACTACTCACGACCCCGAAATGTCGGCTCCATGAACAAGAAGGACAGTGATGTCGGAACCGGTCTCGTCGGCGCCCCTGCCTGCGGCGATGTCATGAAGCTCCAGATCCGCGTCGACCCTGAAACCCAGAAGATCTCCGAGGTCAAGTTCAAGACATTCGGATGCGGTTCCGCCATCGCCTCCAGCAGCTATCTCACCGAGCTCGTGCGTGGCATGAGCCTGGATGATGCCGGCAAGGTCAAGAACACTGAGATTGCTAAGGAGCTCTGCTTACCCCCCGTCAAGCGTAAGTTTACTACCCTGATATATCGCTTACAGTTTGCTCAAATGCGGTATATTGCGCACTGTGATGCTAACTATGTTTGATAGTGCACTGCTCCATGCTTGCTGAGGATGCTATCAAGTCTGCCATCTCAGATTACTACACCAAGAACCCCAACGCCAAGGTCAGCAACCTCAGCGGTACCGGCATGAAGCTCCCCGAGGCCGACGCCGCTGCTGCTTAAACGTGGTAATCCATCAAGAAAATCTCAACATTAAAAAAACACGAATATTACATTGCTTTTACGCCATGTCACAATACTTGGGAAACTAGGAAATGATACCCTCTTTGAGGCAGGATGAAAAAAAGAAAGTCGTTCGGAACACCAACGAAGGAGGGGGAGTCATCTTTGGATCTAGTCTGGAGTAGGATTGTCTGACGCAACACGTCTGACTAGTCTTTCCCTTCTTTATCCGCACACTATGGGATCAGTATTTGGGAGTCAGGGGTTCTTTATTTATTTTTCTGCCTGAAATCACTATGGTTGTGATTGGGCTTACAGGGGATGCGGCGAAGAAGGGGTCTGTCTACATTGGAGCGGGGTCGGTAGAATGAGATGAACTGTATCAAATAGCACAAGCGTGAAATGTCAAATGCTCTCGATTGAACGAGTCTTGATGTTTGTTCGTGAGTCAGTGAAGATTGATAAGCCGTTATCTGATGGGGTGATAAGTCCCGGCCTCCGCGGAGATGGATTGTCGTTGTGATGCGGCTCGTGTTATCAATCGTACAATTTTCAGGGTCCATGCCTCGGTCACCGAGGCTCCTCGCTTCCCACGTTAGACAACCTCATTTCTGGAGTCTAATGGGCATCATCAGTTCAGTGAGCGCTCACCACGATTAACTGATCAACCTTGTGCTCATCTCCAGATGATCTCTCCATAAACCCAATTCCTGAGACCCTGTCCAATCGGTAGCAAGCGATCCCAGTCCCAATCTCGTGATTCACCCTCAAAACTCCTTATCAATCACCCCACCACAGCATGTAAACAACAAGTACTCTGTACAATGACTTCGCTTCCAAGTCTTAAATTCACGTATACGAACCCAGTTACTTCTAGTGCCAGCATCATATGCATCCAATTTAGAAAAAAAGAGATCTCTCATCCCTGCCGCAACTCATGCAAGGTCCAGTTGCTGCTCAAGAAAAAATCCTCCGTAGCGCGTCAGCATCAGGCCATTTTCCACCAAAAAAGTAAAGCCACCGTTGCATTTCGCGGGGTAGCTCGATCGAATTGAGATATTGGGTTCCGAGGGTTTGGGAGACGGAAACTGAGTGCCTGTGGGGGTTTTCGCATCGATTTTTAAGGTGGTGAGGATTTGGGAGGTGGTGTAAGTGCGGGTTTGAGGCGAAGAGCACTATTCGAGGCCAAGGCCGGTCTTGATCACTTCAATGTGCTATAATTTGCGAAGGGGAATATTTTCTGTCTATGGGATTAAACGTCCGCTCTTGGTAAACCCATGTCTATCTATATGCATGCATCGCTCGATTCGCAACCCTCGATTAAGCAGCTGGCAAATGAATGCCATGAAATCCCTGTCCAATCGCAAAATCAGCCTCTGCCCTCCCCAGCTCCTCCATAGTCTTCCCATTCAAGCACAGTATATATGCCTTCTCATTAACTCCATCGACGACCAGACTGAATACGATACCATCATCTTCTTCCACAGCCCCAGGCCTTGGCACAAACACCGGCTCGCCAGGGGTATGTCCTTCAGGTCCTGTCCACATGAACGCTTCACTGGTATCTAGGTCCGTCTTTACCAGAGCATCAACTGAGGTTGTTAGACCGCGTAGTGAGGCGCTGTAGACGTAGCGATAGGGTTTGCCGTTGCGAAGGGGGTGGATAGTTGGGAGCTCGCCGGCGTGTGGACTAGGAATGGCGAGGACTTGTTCTGCGCTGGCGGAGAATGTTGTGTCTGGTGTTGGTGCGGAGGGAAGTCTGAAACGGTATCTTGTGAGAGTTGGTGCACAGTTCTTATACCGGTCATTCTTGAACCAGTATTTCTTCGTCGCATCGTCGCGATCCATGAGAACATCGTAGTAAAATCCCTTGATGATATCCATGTTGTCATACTTGGCCAAATCAAAAAACAGGTCTGTCTGCTCAGTGCCATCTTCATCTTTAACCTTCTTCTCAAATGCATTGATGCTATGGAAGAAGAAAGCAGCCGGCGTTGAAAAGGTAGCGACAAGCCCCTTTCCGTGTCGGCGATCGACAACCAGCCACTTGCATTTCCTCTCTTTATCGAATGGCTTCATTGAATCGATGATATTTCCCTCCCATTGTGTTTTTAGTCCTCTCCATGCGTAGTGTGATGCGGGTATGCATACCACAACGTGGTTTTCTGTGAGGAAGAAACTGTGCATGTAGGCCGGTGGAACGTTGAGATCGGAGATGGTAGCGAGTACCTCTGTTTCTCCTGAAGCAGCGTCGACTCTGAAGATTCGATATGTCGGAACTCGGCCGAATGCAAGGTTGAAGTTGAATAAGTCTCCTGAGTCGGGGTCGCGTTGGGCGTGAGAGCAGGAACAGGGACCGCTGAGGGAGGGGTGAAGATCGTATTGCGTGGTCTCGGTCAGGGGTTGGAGCGTTGAAGGATCGATACGACGTATTCCAGTGTAGTCTGTAGAAACAAACAGATTAACCGTGTTCACACGATGCCCAAGAGGTCCCGTCACTCCATTCGATACCTCTGTCTTCTCATCCTTCGGCACACCAGGAACATTGGCCAAGAGCGCAACATTATGATTCCCCAACTTTGGTTCAAAGACAGTCATGACCTTTGCAAAGATTCCAACACAAGGATCAGCTTTCTGTCCAAACGTCATTCCTGATCGCCATCCTTTCTTCTTCACATCAGCAATCCACTCATCGGCCTGTCGTCTTGATGAGTACCACACTTGTGTCTCGCCATCTTCAGAGGGAATGATATCAAAGCAATGAGTCTGTGCAAAGCCGTCGAACCAATGAGTTGTGAAGTGTGTGCCGCGCGCTGTGTCTTCAACGCGACTTTGGCCAGGACCAGTGCGGTAGAGAGAACCAGCGGCCCATGAGGGGATGGTGCCTTTGAGAGTCAGGCGGAGAGGACCGCGATGTTCTTCAAGACGATCAAACTGAACATGTTAGTTTTAGTAGTTGGATCACAGAGGGAAGAACTCACAGCGGCTTCGTTGGGCCATGATTTCCATGATTCGGCGAGGATGTTCTTGGTGATGTTTGAGGCGTCTTCTTGTTCATGCTCTCGGGTGCGGTGATAGACACCCGGGCCGTTGAGCGCCATATTAAAGTTTATTAGGAAAATGTCTAACAAGTGAGAAACAGTTGCTTGCTCAAAGTGTCTCGTTTCGTTTGCGACAGTATCGTTTGACTTGTGGGAAACAAAGATGCAAGAACAAGAAGCATGCTCTGGAGATGTGTCTATAAAACAAGCGCGAAATGACTTTCAGCTCATGTGTCAAGTGAGAAATAAAGTGCTGGCTCTATACAAACACAACACAGTGCACCCTGTTGTCTGTGTGTGTACTGGATGTTTGCAACGCAATGCAGTGTTAGCACCGATGATGAACTTGCAAGTGAAGATGACCACTTTAAAGCTTCATTGTCGTCATTCAACTTCAAAACAATAAAACACGGCTCTTTACAAAACGCATCATGATAATAGGGTATTTTTTAAATATGGACCTCAAACTTATTAAGTACAAAAACCCGCCTGTTGTACTCCCACGCATGGGCTGTGTAAAGTCAATGACGCTACCATCAGAAAACGAAACCGGATTCCGCACGAGAAAACGAAAATACCAAGCCCCGACACTTCCGCATCGAAGAAATCACCACAAAACAACTCATCCTTGAGATGTCGGCACCCGAAGCTGAGGTTGTTAAGTTGATTTTACTTACTCACTAGTGGCTCAATACTTTGTGCGCCTTCGCGTGTGCGGTATTGTTCCGCTCGTCGCTTGGGGGACCTATCAACGGCTGAAGACGACGAGGGAAAGGTGGTTAGTTTGGACGTTGGCGTTTAAGGGGATGCATCTGCGTGTACTTGCAATATTGCCTTAGCGAAAGCGAGTATGGCTTGACGAGAGTGTGCTTCGTTGGCATGGGCATCGTGGAGCTCTTGTTATACCGCAGGCGGGGATTGACGACTCGAGGTTCCTGTGTGTGACTCTTGGCTGGATCCTGGCGTTTGTTGGTTGCTTGTTGTGCTAGATTTAGAGTAGGCTTTTAGATTCCGATGTAGCACATGCCATCAGGCGGTGATGGTTTATTGGTGATGTCCTGGGTATCGATGTCGGTGAGAGAAGTCGGTCTTGATGAAAACCTGTCCTGGTCGATATAATCAAGACACTGGCCCTATCGAATGATATGAGAACATATGAGAAATTCTCTGGAATGAGCAAAATAGAAAGAATCATTGTTACTCAGATGCAGATCTCATAAATACCAGCCTTGCGTCTGAATAACCAAGCAAATCATTCATAATAGCCAGTTGGGCTCTCAAAGTATTGGATGTTTAATTCATGGCTGACTCCGTTCTCTTTACGGCTTTTATCGTCTTGGCAAGCAAACAATAACTGATTCCATAGTTTCATTAATTGCTTTCATGAAAACATCTGACAGAACATTGAAACTTGACTTATGTTGAGTATTCTGTTCAAGACCTCTAATCTTTATGATCATCCAGTCTGATGAAATTCCCAGACATTTGGGTGGGGGCCGTTAGGGGCTCGCCCACTAAATAGGTGCTGATCTTAGTGGACACCCTTCTAAGCGTCCATCTCTTTACACGTGATTGGCCAAGCATCACCAGCATCAGTAATTCATCAATACCAAGTGCTCTCACGATTGTCAGAATCCAGACTACAAAGAAATATCACCATGTCATCTCGTCCAGCAGCACCGACGATCCCTTCGTTGAAGCAGTCTTTCATCACCAGCCAAACAACACTTCTCTCTCAGCCTATCGCGCCATCCCGCTCATGGCAAGAAACCAACGACGCGTCAGATGAAGCTATCCCCGAGCGCGTCGTTCAAGAAGTCTTATATAATCTCAACCACACCATCCAGCAGCACTGTCGTCGCGTGTACCCTCCGCAAGCCAGTCGCAATATCGCTGAGCAGATCAATGATGTTTACACTAAGGACGCTGAGCGGAAGGTGGGGGGTCCAGCTGACACTG